CCAGTATTTTCGCCCCTTCCCAAAATTACTTCAACGGAAGGTTTCCAGATGGATATGTGGAGCAAATCCATCTGGCGGAGTCAGGTTACCTGTGAACCCCCTTTTATACCAAAACGCTGCCAATACGCCATTATACAGTAGCTGGAAGTTAGAAACACGTTCAGCGCTCGTCTGGAACACGTCAGATACGCTGATATGCGTTCGAGAGAAGTTCTGGATAAGTTACGCAGAACTTATGCACAAGTTACTTAGAGGTTTAGGATCAGCTAGACGCCACGACTGATGAGGATCTGACACTGAACGGATGTCAACCATCAGATAACTGACTTGGAACCTACCTGTACGCCCCACGTACGGCGTACGCTGGCATACGACGTACTCGCCGTATTTCGATGTGTTTCAGCGTACTTCAGCATGCTCGTAACTTATACAAAACTTAGCCTTAACTTATCCAACATACGGCAGTGTTTTGGCCAGATTTTGCGTGCGTCAGTCAGGCATGTGTTTTGCTAAATCATCAAAGTGTGAGAGGAGCGTCACTGACATCATGTCAGTATGAACAAAAGCCTTTTTAAACGTGCTGCAATCGTTTCTGGAGCACCTCAGGGTGCCGAGTTCGGACATCTTTTTATCTCACCTCGTTTTGTTTTAAATATTCTGTCTAATCTGGGCTATTCAGGCAACATAAAATAGTTATAAACATATTCTAAGAAATCAAAAGCTTATTACAGTTTTATGTTTAAAATATGAATAAATTATAAATATGTCATTGAATCTGGTTGATGTGTTTGAACTTGCACCCTGATAAGCGTTATTTTTGTACTTTTAATTCTCATTCAGAAACATGTTTGTGGTTTTAGTTTGGCTCTAAATGTAATTTTTGATTCATTCCTTGGTTTATGGTGGAACTTTAAATGATATTTAGATTCCTAGAAGATGTTCAGCGGGATATTTTCTACCCTGTGGGCCGTTCGGTTTGCTGCTGCCCCAAACCTCCAGAAGGAGCTGCTTACTTGTGACAGCTGTGCCACTCCCAGGCATATCGGGGTCTGCTTGGCAGGAAGTCGGCGGTTCCCTGATTCTTCACCCTCTGAGTGAACCTCAGCAGAACCCTGGTGTCATAATCCTGAGCGTAGCGAGCCGAGCTGAAGCAGAAGAAAAGAGGAAAGGAATCCAGTTTGAATAAATCCACAAAATGATTACTGAAAAATATAAATTTACAAATTAAGATGCAACAATCCTCCCCTGACTTATTTAAACTGTAACTTTCATCAATCCTTCAACATCTTCTTTACTTTACTCTGCAGGACAGAAATGTTGGGTCAGCTTAGTTCAGAGTTAACGTCCACGTCTGAGGAACCAGGCAGGAACCTGAATGGAAACGTGGATCAGATTGATGATTCCCCTAAACTCAGAGCTCAGGCTCTGGACTCTGTGAAATTAATTTCCTCCTATTTTCCAATTATGATCCCATCAGGTATTTTACAACATCTTCTCCCTTCAAGGTTTTCCCAGCAATGAGATACTAGCAAACAGCATCCTGTTCTCAATGTATGGCTGAGGAAGAACACGGTTCTGGGTGCTGGATCAAAACCACCCCCTGTACCATGCAGTATTTCAAAAGAATCAATCCACTGGACTTTGTTTCCAAATTTTAAGACGCTTTTCTTCCCATCCAGGAAGCTTTTCCAATCCAGAGGCGAGGTGATCTGCTCCCCTGTAATGTTCCCCAACCCCATTACAGGGGAACAGAGGACCTCCCCTATTCAGCCAGACCACCAAAGTGGATTGTTTTTTGGATTTTTTTTTTGGAATGATTATGACCTGGATGACTGAGAATCTTCACCAGCACACTATACAGTACCACACCATGAAGAAGAATGTTGGAGAATTTAGAAACCAGAAATAAGATGAACATCTCACACTGATGGAGGCATTAGAGATGTTTCTGCAGGGAGAATGGCATGAAAAAAACTCCAGAAACCTTCATGTCTGCGTGTCATGAATGAATGAATGAGTGAATTAGAGGATGAATGAGTGAACAGTCTGATTGGTGACTAAGATGTTGACTATTATAGCTGTCAGTCATCCCAACAGGATCAAGTTGTAGACAAAGAGTGACTGATGAAGAAGAAAACATCAACTCTATGGAGAGAAGTTTGTTCCATTATTATTGAGAGCAAAGAAAATGTTTAAATTTGTAAAACAGATGAAAATTTGGAAAATTTGATCACCCCCCCAAAAAACTGAAAAAACAAAACAAACAAAAAAAAAAATAATGGAAAAAAGATAAAATAATAAAATTTGAAAAAGTATCAAACTGTAAAAATATTGGTTGAATTTTGCTCTTTATGATTTAATCTAAAAACATGCTGTTGATCAAGATGTTTTCATTTTTGAAAGATGTTCTTTGCTCCCAATAATATTGTAACAATTTCCCTCCATACTTTCTAAACCTAAAATCTTTACTACACTAATTTATAACTAAGATCCTTTTGTTGATATTTTGTTTTCCGTTACATGAAGCATCTCCTGTAGGAGGAGTTCTTTTAGTTTTACACCACAGAGTGTCTCTGTGATGTCTGAAGGCGTTGGGTGAGGAGGGTTGGATCTTACGAGCCGAGGCAGTTCTCCTCCGCCGCACAGCGCAGGTTATACATGGGCATCCTCTGGACATACGAGGCCATCTGGATGTAAAAAGGATCAGGAACCAGATCAGGAAGACCTGCAGCAGGAGACGGAGGAAACGCTTTATCTGAGCTCAGCTTCAAACATGAATCAGAGCAGGTGTGATGGATTCAGTCAGAAAATGCTTGGTGTTCAGGGAAACTTTGTAAAATAAAGCAGCAGGAAACACTGAGCTGCTTTTCTTGGAGGTCTGAGATCATCTCTCTACTTCCAGACATGCAGAGACATGGATCAGATCCACAATCTGATCTCTATCAGTGGATGAAGATGATTTAACTTGTCTGGTCTGACTAATGTTTAACCTTTAAATCCTCATCTGATAAATAAAGACAGCTTCCTGCTTCGTTTACTTAAATCACTACATCAGTTCAGAAAAGCATTACAGCATGATTGGGATTGATTTTAATGCTTTTTAAATATAGTCTCAAACCTGCGGCTCAAAAAAAAAAAAAAAAAAACCCAAATAACTTTTCTGGTTTTGCTCCGTTTGATGCTACCTGCTGCTGGTTCTGCTTCTCTAGTCGGTTTCTTGAGGTTCTGAATCACAAGTCTGGTTGCTGCAATAGCAGCTCCATCACCAACAGAGGGCGCTGCACATCTTCATGGGTGTAAATAATGGTGGAGCAGGGGGGTCTGCAGCCCTTTTCAGCGTTATGTTATGAATATGTCATTTATACAGAGGAGACAAAAGTATTAATTTTGATTACTCCAGTAGAAGTATAAATCCTGCTGTTTAAAAACACTTTTAGAAGTTAGAGGATCAACTTCAGCTTTTTACTCCAGTAAAAGTGTTAAAGTAAAATTTTTAAAACTACTTAAAATATTAAATTAAAAGTAAATCATAAAAAAATGTTAAGACCAGAAGCTTTACTGCTCTACTCTATTAAAGGAACATTTTTCTACAACTGGATGATAACTTCCTTAGACTTCATTTTCTTAGTTTTATAACTAATAATAACAGCATCACATTTGACCTTGCATCATCTTTAAAAACGATTTATATGTTTATATGTGGTGAGCAACAAGTTGGGGCAGCACCGAGTCCAACCACAAAGAAGATGAAACTGATTATTTTGATGGTTTTTAATTTTTTTTAAATACCAACAGACCATAATAAAAATGAGCTTAAATGAAACAAAACTAAGGAGACTATTTTTAAAATGCAAGGAGTAGAAAGTAAAAAGTCTAAAATATAATTACATAATCAGTGTAGATACAGAACATTAGTAATTATAGACTGAAAGAAATAATAACATTAATAATAATCATATTAAGTTACTTTAACACAATTGCTTCACATCCTACCCTGCTAACATGAAACAATTGTGTTAAAGTAACTAAATATGATTAATTAAATGCCAAAAACGGTTGTATTTTTTAATAAATTATAATGAATTAAAGAGTTTTGTTTTGTTCAGCCTATTATAGTATAATGAAGAAGTTTGATATAGAAAAAAAAATCGTCTCATTAATTAGAATAAAACTTTACTTAAAAAGCAGCTTCAAAGACTGGGACACCTGGGAAAAAACGCTTTTTTATTAAGTTAAAGCAAAATATAAATTCTGTTTTTGTTCTTATCCAATTCAGAATGATCAATATTAATGAATTATTATCAAATAATAATTATTAGTTTAATTATTGTTGATTTATTTTCTAATCTGTTGTTTTGATCCAAACTGGAGTCTGTGTTTGTGATCATGATGGTGAATAAATAAGTTATTAGAAACTAAACCTCTTAGTTTGGGTCAAAATGCATGAAATAATTTAAAGTGTTGTTAGAGCACGCTGCTAAAAATCACCTAAAAATGAGAAAAAATGTCTTAAATTAAGTGTATTTACCATTAATCTGAGCAGGTAAATAAGAAAATTTGCCAATGGAATGAGTATTTTAAGTCTTAAAATAAAATAATTAGATAATATGCACTTGAAATAAGAGAATGCGATTGTGTTTTCTTATTTTAAATGTATATTGTCTTGATCCACTGGCAAAGTGTCCTAATTAACTCCTCAATTCAAGAAAAAATGCACTTATTGCAAGAAATAAAAACACTTATTTAGATTTCAAATTTTTGCAGTGCGGAGGAGAGCTTCTGCCTTCATCTGAGGAGGATTTGAGTTTTCCAGCTTCTGATCATTAATCTGAGCTCCTTAAATAAATGAATTTATTCCAGCTCATCTATTAATGAATCCTCTGGTCCTGGTTCTGGTCTGACCCATTAGACCTCTCTGGTGGTTCCGATGCTGAGCAGAAACATCTGTCTTCCTTTAAGTTTGGAGCTGAGCTGCAGTAATGAGGCAATAAAACCTTCATCACCTGGAATCTGCAGCAGTTTTAATAAATGCTTCATGTTGTTCTCACCGTTCTGGTGGTACTGGGTTCCGTATCCGGGCCGAACCCTGGGTCTGGGTCTCTGGTAGGTGTCAAAGTAGTTGTAGTAGGGGTCATAGCCGTGCCGCTTGTAGGGGTTGTAGGGATCATCTCCCACCATCATGTCCTCCCTGTTCACCGGGGCTGACTCTCCTCCAGCAGCGCGCGCCTGCTGACGCGTCATGGCGCGCAGCTGCCTGGAGCCGCTGGCGGCGGGGACCCGCGGAGAGGACGCGGCGTCCGCGCCCGTGTCATTGGAGCTGCTGACCACCAGAACCGGGTCGGTGCTGCGGGGGGAGCCGGTCTGCCTCCTCCCGCTGGGTCTGTACTGAGCGCCGCGGCTCAGGATGCTGAAGACCTGCCCGTTGTGTTGCCATGTCAACCCCCTCCGGAGCGCATCGGACTCCGCAGCCTCCTGAGCGCAAACGGCCTCCAGGAACCAAAGATGCGCAAAGGAGAAGAGCGCCAGGCGAGCGAAGGAGCGCAGCTGCATGGTGGAGGAAACCAGGAGGTCTGAGGAGTTTGGAGCTCAGGCACCAACCTCTGATGGAGGGAGGAGTGAGATCAGCCTCTGTCCTCCTCTCAGGCTCACAGCTTTAACTCTTGCTGCTGCAGCAGATTAGCTCTGGATATTATTATTTAAAGCTCACATTTATTTATTTTTAAAACTGGTTCAAACAAACCAAAAGGAGGCATTAAATATAAACAATCCTAAAAATTTAATGTGAAAATCTTTTGATTTTATATTCAAATATTTGAAAAATTGTTCAAACTGTTCAGATTGTCCTGGTTTGTTCTCTGCAGATTAAAATCTAAACCAGATTATTTTATTCTGAAAGAGGAAAACACAGAAATAAAACGTCAGGAAGCAACATTTCTCCAGTAAAAGGTTTCAGTTTGTTCCAGTGAGTCCCTCTCCTCTCTGCAGGCTGAGGTGTGATGTTCGGCCCTCTCCTGTCTCTAATTACAGCATCTCGGTGGTCAGAGCTCAGCCTGAAATTACTCTGAGGTTTCTAAATGCTCCTTTCTGTCCTCAGACTCAGATCAAAACAAAAACCTTTCTCTGCTTTTCTCTTCAGGTTCATGATCACAGATTTTAAACATTTAACCAAAACCAAGCGGCTGTTTTAATGGGATTAGTTTGGCATATGAACTAGAACCAGTGGTGGACGAAGTACTCAACATCAGTAATTGAGTAAAAGTATTGATACTTATAGTCAGTAGTCTAGTTTTTAAAAAAAGAAGGAGGGTGGTGGATTTTTTTTTTGGGAAGCATAGATAGCCTAATTAAAGGGAAACACAGTTTTTTTTCCTTTGGTACCTTGATTTTACGTTATTCCATCATGTTCTACTCACCCATATTAGTTTAGTGTCATTTGGAGCCGTTCTGAAGATATTCCGTTAGGTTATATCCAGTAACGTCTTCCTTTGGCACGAGTTGAAGCACAAACTAAACTGTTCATCATTTATTCTTTATGGTACGCCAGCATTCAGAACATGTAGGCCAATCACTGTCCCCCAGACATCAGCGGTTATATTTTTTATATTTATATCTTTTAAAAACAAAGCGGAGTGTGTATGACATCATCCGCGCGCCGGACTGGAGTTGTGACAGGCGGCTACGTTCTACCCCTTCTATTCATTCTGGCTAATCTGAATCGTTCAATTCCATCTGGAGAGCGAGATCATCTGTGGTAGCAGCACTAGACATCTTCCAGGCGTGAGGAAAACTAGCAGCAGTTCAGCGGACAGGAAGAATGAACGGTAGCCGGCGCACGCTGATGACATCATACACACTACGCTTTGTTTTAAAAGATAGAAATATAAATAATATAACTCATTCTTTCTCTATAGAATAGAGGTTCAAAGTTAAATCAACAACTAATACCTTAATAAAATTATAAACTACTAATAATATCTGGTCTGAGTTTCTCTTATTTGTGGAACGTCATTAAATCTCTAAAACAGTGGAAACCGGATTCTAGAAGGGCTGCTTTCTGCCATGATGGGACTTCATTTCAAGAAAGAAAAACAGCAAGAGAGGATTATGAGCATAAAGGAGCAAAGAACCAGCAGCTTCCTGGAGATGGAATGAAAGTTATAAGGAAAGATACTCAAAATAGTACTTAAGTACAGTAATCCATGAATGTAATGTTGTTAATTTCCACCACTGATTAGCACCTTATATTTGGTTTTTAAACTTTTCTAAATAAAAAGTATAAAAACTGTTGCAAGTGTTTGGATTCAGCTCCAGAGGAAAACTGCTTGTTAAACGACCTGAAGCTGCTGATCTTTGGACTGTGGTCTCTAGTAACTAGAAATAGAAGTAACTTTTGGCTTCTTCTCTAATCAGTGGTCCCTTTCTTTAGCCTGTCAGTCCAGGTCGACCTCACTGGAAAAAAATCTAAATCTAAATAAGTTATTTTTTCTTAAAATAAGTAATTTGTTCTTAAATTGAGGAGGTAAAAGAGACATTTTGCCAATTGAACATAAAAATTTACACTTAAAGTAAGAAAATACAATTGCATTGTGTTGTTTCAAGTGCATATTATCTAATTATCTTATTTTAAGAGTAAAAAAACTCATTCAGTTGGCAAACTATCTCATTTACATACTTAAATTAAGGGTAAATACACTTAATTTAAGAAATGTTTAATTATTTCTAGATGATTTTTCCAGTGTCCAGGTTGGTCTGCAGGTGATCCATCCTTTCTCTAAGCTCAGATGATGATGTCATCAGAATAATGGGAGAGGATCAAAGCTCGGGTTCTTCTAGAGACTAAACCTGCTTTAAAATGAAGCAGAACCTTCCTGACCTGCTGGGTTTCTGCTTCTTCATTAAAACGTTTCTTCTCTAAAATAAAATAAAATAAAACATCCAGAGTCTGTCTGCATCAGAGTGAAGGAAGTGCCACATATAAAGATCTTATTCAGGAACCGTTCTGCCTCCATGGTTCTGGTTCTGATCCGCTTTGTGTTGGTCTGTTACATGAAGGTCGCTGACCCAAAGAGAAGAAGTTCAAAGGTCATGAACATTTCCCTGTTAGTAGATGTTCTACATCTGATCTTTTCTCCTCACACAAGCTGGTTTGGTTTGGTTTTACTGGACCCCCCCCACCCCCCACTGGGAGCCCAGGATGCTTTAAAACAGCTGAAACTGAAGCATTTACCAGCTGAGAATTTCCTCTTCATAGAACCTTGTAAAAGGCTCCATCTGCCACCCAGGGAGAAGAAGCACTTTTCCTTTTCAGTCGTTTTTGGTTCCAGTTAGAATAATTCAATCAGAAAAGGCCGCCATTAGTTGCTCTATTTAAAAAAAAAAAAAAAAGCTAATTGTCGGGTTCATAAAATGTAGGTTTTTGCTTAAGAAGAACTGAAATACACAATTTATGGATACAATTTCTGCAGAAAGGAGAGACAGTTGAACCCCAGACTCAAACACACTGTCTCCCACTGGACCTCCTCTGCAGAGCATTTATTAACAGAACATGACGCATGGTTACAAACAGAGTATTGTTCTGACAGAACAATTGATCAGCTCATGAAGACAGAATGCTCCATCAGAATGACAAGGCAGGATGGTCTCCTGACTGAATCATGAGACAGGAGTGGACAAATGTTTTATAAGCACACATTAATTTTGTAATCATCATTGAATAAACCTAACACTAATAATCGATACAGAAACAGACTTTTGCAAAAATGTTCTGCTGAGGTCATGAAGTTTCCAGGAGGGAAAATTCGTTTTATGAGCTGATTTATTCAGCGACATGTTTTTATCCATGTTTAAAAAAATCTAACATTTATTTCATCAACAGCTGCTGAAATCTAGAACATGCAATCTGCCACATAAAAGCTGGTGAGCTCATGTGATGCGCACTGGTTAAAATGGCTGAACCTGTCATGTTGGGTTCAAGGCGTCTAACCCACATGCAGAAAACACTCTTAAAACAGGGAAAAGTTTAAAATGATTTATTTACAAAGTTTACAAGAATAATGGTCACAGGTTCTGGGTTCTTCTGGTTGGACACGGGAGGACAGCCACTGAGGAGGACAGAGCAGTTAGAGTTGATCCAGGAAACGTGCAGTATACAGACGATGGGGATAAATACCTGCTCAGAGAGGATTCTGATCAGCAGGGGGGGGGAACCTTATGAGTCCAGAGGCTAGTCGGCAGGCAGAGGGCTGAGGGCAGAGGCAGAGACTGAGACTGAGTGCAGGCAGGCAGATTCAAAACCGAGATACTTTCTCCAGGATTCCAGGAAAGTCAGGATCTGAGAGGCAGAGAGAAACAGGATCAGGTTACAGATCAGGCAGGCAGGCTCAGGTTTTGCTAACCATTACTGGCAAGCACTCTGGCAGGGAAGTGTCAGCCTCCTCCTCCTTAAATAGGTCTTGCTGATGAGGAGACAGGAAATAGTTGTGTAGAGATGAGCTCATGCCCTCAGGAGGAGATCTCAAGCGCCCTCTGGTGGAGAAAGTGGACAAGCCTCCAGATCCCAACAGAAACATGTCTCATAAAGTGAGAAGCGGAGCAGCAGTCGTCAGCGGAGCCAGAAATTTGGTCCATCAGAAGTTCCCCTCACTCAGCTGAGGAAGGCTAGATGTTCCTCAGCTTCCTTTTCATTTTTGAACTGAAAAGGCGTCTTGGATGGGAAGTGAAACATCTTCAAACTTGGAAACAAAATCCAGTAGATTGTTTTTTAATTTTCTTGTTTTGGAGTGAGATGTTCTCCACACTCCATGCTGAACCAGATGAATGGTATCAGTTGGACAGGAGGACCGTCCTGCAGAGGACAGATCGGTTGATGCTCCAGCTGGTTTGTGTCGGAGCTCCAGCATATTTCTGCAGACTATTGCTGAATATCTAGGTGGGATCTTGAAAGATATCTACAAAGGATCTTAGGAAGACAGCGAGAGCATCGCTACGCTGGCGACCAATCAGGCAGTGAGGAACCATCCTGCAGATCCTCTAATGCTAAAGTTTGATCAACACCTGTTCAGGTATTTAATCTCACCTGCAAGCTGAATTCTTTTGGTATTTTGCTTTATAAGCACATTGAAATTATTTAGGTCAGACTCAAAATGGCTCGGCCAATCATGTTACAGCGTTGGGTTAAGGTGGGACACAACAACAAACATGGCGGCACAGGAGGACGTGAAGTAGGTGCTGCCTTAATCCTGTCTTCTGCTTCTATTTGATTTGTTACCATGATTGGCTGAAACTAAACTCTGGTAGGCGGGCACTAGGGCTCGCTTCGCCCAATCAGCTCGGAAGGTTCTCCTGAACCCCTTAAGGAAGCAGTCCCAGATTAATGATGTGTTGAACTACGCCTGAGTTCCAGACATAAATTAATCTGGATTATCAGGTTACAGATGACTGAGAATCCTTCAGTGCAAACTGGGGAGGAGGAAGTCAGTCAGAAATCTTTAATGTGCATCTGCTGCTGAGCTAAAAATACTGATTTCAGGCAGGTTCCAGTTAGATAAAAGATTTAGGAAGCAAACCTCTACATGCAACCAGAATCAGACTCTCAGAGCTGACTGGAAGGTCAGCAGGAACTGATGCATCAGGGCGTCTGCAGATAGACGGACTACTGCCGACTCTAATGGTGTCCAAGCATTAGTCTGAGCTCATCTATAGACCAGAGTCAGGTGGTAGCGTCCAATAATGGCCATGGATCGAACTCCCTGCCTTCCTTTGGTTAGAGGGATAGACGACAGGCGGCACACGACCAAAATGAGAACTTTGCTCAACTGTGAAGAAAAAAGGATCCTGAATGAGATGAGGAGGCAGCAGCCATGAACCCAGCAGGCCGGAGTGATCCTCTTAGATCGTCTTCTTCTACAAAACACCCAAAGCCTTTAGCAGAACAGGGTGTGTGGATCATATGAGGCTGATGATCTCAAACAACCTAAGATGATAGCAGATATTCTATGTTTGTGAGACATTAAACCGATATGTGCTGCTGCCATCAACACATTTGTTTCTAGATGTTGGAGATTGGCCTGTTTTCCAGTGTAGTCCTGTTTCTCTGACTGTGACTAACTGAATGTGCTCTCTTCATCCTCTGACATGGGAGCTGGCTCGGAGCTCGTCTGCCTGGCTGTGTGTTTCCTGGAGCTGGTTGACAGATGCCTTTTGTATCTCTACTGGAGGTTTCTTCCTGTTAAAAGGGAGTTTTTCCTCTCCACTATCGCTACAAGCATGCTTAGAGTGACGGATTGCCTTCTAGTCAAGAAGTTGATGCAATCAACTGGTTTTCCTTAGATAGAAAACTTTGAATCAATCTGGTGAACTGTAATGTGCATTGAGATGATCAAGGCACATTACAGACAATAATCAGACCAGCACGGTGGTGAGGAGTGGTGCTCTGTAGGGTGTCTTTGCTGTTGGATCAGGCCGTGTCCAGATCATTTTTGTTCATCCAAACGGTTTTGTTAATCCTTTATTGACCTCTGATCCATCAGGCGGAGCAGCAGGAGGATTTGCAAACGATCAGCAGCTTCATCTACTGAGACGCCATTCCCTGCGACCTTATGGCAGTCTGGTCCTGAAAAAAGTACAATAAAACAGCAGCTAGAAGGACATTTCCCAAAGTATTGCTTCATTTAAAGAAGGAACCAAAGATGATTCCCAGCTCTGACAGATAGATTTAAGTAATCTATGAAATCTAATTTGGTTCTAAGCAGCTTTAAGCCAAACCTCTACTGTCAAACACCACCAGCTAATCTGATAACTCAGATTAGCTGTAAAGTTGGTGTCAAACGCAGGGAAAGAAAACTGGTTTTATGTTGCAGTAGAAATGCTGGCGCTTCGGTTTTTCGGAGCATCTGCAGGTAGCCACGCAGCAGCGTGAAGTTTCACAAAATTCCTGGTAGCTAAAGGAAAACATGACGTGTCTGCAGAGGAGCTGCGTTTTTACAGCGTTTCTTTAAAGATCAAAGAGATCACAGCGCTCTGCTTTCAGGTATACAAGCTAGCAGCAGCAGCTCAGTTTCCAATGAGAAGCAGGTGTCGGCCTGATCTTAGCGCTTTACATGGCTTCATAATGAGAGCTGGCTACCTGGAGGGGCCTCCTGCACACAGGACACATAATGAGCCAGAGAAACCCAAAACATTATAAGCACTGTACAGACGGCAGATCCTTCACAATGAGGTCACATTTAGGTTTTTGTAAGAGAAAAAGGTGCAGAAAAACAAAAACAAATAACAGGCCAATCAGATGGGATGGAGTGTTGGGTGTGATGCAGAGTAAAAGCTTAAAAAGTGTCAGCAGAACGCAGCAGTTTTAAATAGGACCCAAACAGCCCGCAGGCTGGTCTGTAAAAGCTGCAGATTTAATACGTTGTTCAACCACTGATATAAAGAAAAGGAAAACGTGACACACGTAACCCTCCTTAAGTATAAACACATGTTAAACTGAGTTGGGATACAGGCTAACAGATTTCATTTGTCTTCATTTTGTTCTAAATACATTACTTTCAACCTTTGTCCTCACGCCTCATCACTTCACATGTTGATCAGGTTTTATATGGAGAAACAGTGCCAGATTATAGAAAGCCTTAAACCCAAGTCAAACTGGTTGCATCCGAGTCTTTAATCTGCCTTGGATCCTGTCACTTATTTCTTCTTTGAGGGTTTCAACCGAGTTTCTTCCCCTGATATCTGATTCTTGCCAACCTTGGTTAAAGTTTTGCCAAACATCCAGCAGTCAAATCTGAGATTGTCTCCCTGTGTTCTCAGATTGTGGTTCAGTTGGCTCAGTTCAGTGTATTCTCGTTATAAGTTCGTATTAAATCGTATGAAAAGTTATGCACAGTAATTTCGTACGTTTTTGACGTGTTTTTCATCGTATTTCGTTGTATTTTTACGTCTTGCCTCGAGACAAGATATCCTTGCGCATGCGCATCTTACAATAACAATTCAATAACATAGAATTTAACATACAATTAACCCTAACCCTAAGATACAAAACAGCAAGCAACCTAGTTAGAGACCTGAAGAAGTAATTATTGCATTGTTTTTCCCAGTTTTACGTCCGTTTTTTCGTCTGTCTGGCTGCGCACTGATCTGTATTTTCGAGGAAAAATGTCAAAAACGTACGAAACACTGTGCATAACTTTTCGTATGATTTCATACGAACTGATAATGAGAATAAGTTGCTCAGTTAGCTACAGAGTGGCCTAAATTCCAAATATCTCCCTGTGCAAATGAACACATAATGCAATTTTCAGTGTAATTTAACTTATCTCTAAATCAGTGTTGCGGTGGTACTGTCCTCTATCTGTCTGTTTTACTAACTGCTGCCGTTTCCTGCTGGGTGACACAAGAATGTGACAAATCTCATAAAAAGTGACATAAAAATCACATCTAATCTTCATTTCCCTTTCAATGGTGTAATATTAAAAAAAAAACTAATATGAATCAGTTTCAGGACCACATTTGAATGTAGTCAGACAAAAAAAATCAAATATAGGTCAGATCCGAGCGTCTAACCTTGTTTTAAACACCTGATCAGCTGATCTGGGCCAAAGTTGCCAGCAGTGTGAAAATAACCTGATCTGAGATGTTTTCCTGCTTCCGTGAAACTAAATTCAATTGATGGCTGATTAAGAGGCTTTTGTTCAAATTTAATGATCAATCAGGTGTGTGTGTGTGTGTGTGTGACTTCACAGGCTGGTAACGCTGACTTCAACCCCGATGAAGACCCTTGAACGGTTGGTCTCACACCGTCTACACCAACTGGTGAAGACTGTCCTGGGATTGGGGCAGATGATGCCATCATCTTCCTCCTGCTCCAAGCTCACCTAGAGAAACCTGGAAGCGATGTGAGGATCATGTTGTTTGAGTTCTACACTGCTTTCAACACCATCCAGCCAGGACTTCTAAGGGACAAGCTGGAGCTGTCAGGAGTGGAGCTGTCTCAGATAGGTTAGTCTGCAGTACGGGGGTCACACATCTGGTTCTGTTAAAATGACCCAGGGCAGTGCTGTCAGTGTACACCAAAGCTCTGTCCTCAGGTCAAAAATAGCAATAATTCACTCTCCTCCGTATTTTAGAATCATTCTTGTAATCTAATATTTCTATCAGCTCTTTATCAACAAACCTGAGAGAGCAAAATGGGAAAAATAAACCTGAAAGGATTAAACTAGTCTCCATTTGAGGACGTGACAGTTTTCACTCTGAGGGGATAAAAATACTCCTCCTGTTACCAAACATCTGCAAAGGAGGAAAGCAAGCAGAGCAGCACCAGCAATTAAAGGCAGGTTGGGTTTGGCCCGGCCTCCTCCAGCATCACGCATCTGGAAAGAGAAAAACATTGTTATAAAAGCTGTTCTCAACCTAGAGGGTATTATGAAAAACGCAAATATGGAAAAAGCTTTGAAGGAATCCTTAATGCATGAAAAGTCTTAGTATCGTGCAGCTGCAGAGGGATTCAGCCGCCTATTAGGATCCTACAGAATTATTTCACTATAAGATTTTGGCTTTGCTCGGCTCTCTGTGGCCATCTCTTGGCTTTAAAGTGCAGCTCAACCACTCTTATGAAAACTTCTGTCACTGAGCCCAAATCCCTTCCTTTGTCTTTTAAATTTAGCATCTGCTTAAAAAAATAGTGTTACACAAAATCTGTTCATTTTCTTTCAGGTAAGAAGAACATAAAGGTTTTTTTCTTAATGATCCAGATCATTCAGTCAAAAAGGAGAGGGTGAAAATATAAGATGGCCTTGTTTGATTTAATCTTATTAATATTACAGGGACAGAGTGAGACTAAACTAATAAATCAGTGTTCAAAACCAATAAAATTGTAATTGTTCAGTGGAATTAGGAACGGTCTCGTAAAACGATTTTCTAACCCAATAAGGACATTTATTGTGCATTTTAACTGATTTATTAAAAAGCTTATTTCAAACCACTTTTTCCGCTGTCGATTTCATTTCTGAGACTAATCTACAGTTTTGTCTCTAGTACACCCAAAGTGTGGATGAACTGAATCAAAAGCTAATTTAATGCAGTCTTAGATCTACTCTGGTTATTTTTTTTTTCTAAAACTAAAATTACATTTTATTTCTCATTTATTTCGCATTAAGAACTGTTAAAAAACAAACAATAAAGGTCTTTATATAGATAATAAATTACAGGCACCAGGGGTGGAAAGTAATGAATTACATTTACTCAAGTTACTGTAATTGAGTACTTTTTATGAGTAATTTGTAATTTTCTGAGTAGTTTTTGAAATATGTAATTTTTACTTTTACTAGAGTAAATTTTAACCTAAGTAGTTTTACTTCACTACATTTAAAACCCCCTCACGTTACTGAGTAAAAAAAAAAAAAAAAATGATGGTGAAAAGATTAAATGTGGCCCTGCCTTGCCTTTACCCTTTGCATTGCCTCATAATCCAGCGCTGCGCTTCAGAAGATGGCAGTTGCTAATCACAGCTTAGGGAGTATGGATGAGGAAAGGCCTGAAGAGGAAACATATTCTGGAGACGAAAGCCAGAAAAACCCTCGGCCATATTTGGAAGGATTATTTGTTTTCAAATGCACAAAGGGAACAATGTGATAATGCAGAGCAACATGTGGCTGCCCAGCAAAACGGAGC